ACTTAAAATAATTATATATATATATATATATATATAGTGAAAAAATAAAGTTTTTCTATATGTAAGATATTGGTACTAGACAATATTAATGTTGAGTTACCTCAGCTGGTGAGTAGGGGTATGAACACAGTCTCAAACATAGTGTCTCCAGGATCCCAAGGAAAGCTAGAAACACAAAATACAATGCCAGATTTGGGTTCAGTGACTCTGGAAACCTACTTCTAGACCCCATCATGCCTGAGTGGCCTTCCAGATGCACTTCAGCCCTCCTTGGTACCCTTAATACCCCTAAAAGCACCCCAAGGGGCTCTACCCAAAATAAACCCTGTTAGGACAATTGTCTGTGGTATCTGAGAATGTGTGTTAAGGTCTGTCCTGCTATCTCATAAGTGGGGTATGAAAATAGTTTCAAAAATTCATCCCAAGGTCATAGGGGTGGGGGTAAGAACACAAATTTTGATGCAAGATTTGAGTTCGGTGAAATATTCTTCTAGACCCCCATCATCTCTGGGTGTATTTTAGCTTCAAAACTGTAAGAGATATTTGCAGAGAAACAAACAAATTGACAAACACACAACATGAATTAATATATGATGCTCAGTTGAATGAAAATTTCCAATTCCATATAGTATTGAATCAGTACCATGCAAATAAAGCTTGCTTATGTGGAATGGCAATAATAATTCTAATTTTATAAAGTAAGAAAGCTATTCTTTTTGTGCCATTTGATTGAAAAATACACACACACACACATATATATATATATAGAGAGAGAGAGAGAGAGAGATAGTGTGTATGTGTGTACACTATTAATTAGAGTACAATAAAAAAAAGAAATATGTGTACCTAAAATTTGGACACGAATATTTGTGTTAACACCTTTTAAGAGAAATGATCTGTAATTGATTGTTTGGATATATATATATATATATACATTTCACTTATTCCATTTGTACACCTCTTGAAACCAAAATTTCGAACAGTACCACATAAATTTAGTATGTGAAATTGGTATAAGAAAGGGATCATCACAATAGCAGAGGGTATGGCAGTGATGAGCTCTTTAGTTTACTTTATTGCTGTCAGTCCTATACATGTGTGACCGAAAAGAAAAAGACAGAAAAGACCGATCTTTTACTAATCTAAACACTGTGGCTTTTATCACACAGCATGAAAGAAAAGCTTCTTTTTTATATTTGTAAACACCCTGAATCTTTAAACTATAACAGAAAAAAAAAATACTACTTCTTCTACTACTTAACTTTGCCTGTTTTCTATATTGTACAATGCAGCCATCAAGGTCCCCTTTCTTGAGCTGACTTTGTGCTGTGCAGGGAAAACATGCAGCCACACAAATAACAAAGATTCTCTTGCTCTCTATCTCTCTCACTTTGTACTCTTGTTTAAAATATTTGTCTCAGCTGCAAAAATTCTAGTAGGTTTACCTAAATCAGGAACAAAATTAAACTATCCCTTTATAACAAGAGATTCTAAGATTAGGTTGGATGGAATGTTAATGTGAGAAAAAGTACAGAAGAGAAGAAACAAACTAGTTTAATGAACAAAATGAAGTACTGATTATTTCACACTCCACATACAATTGTGTTACTTATCCAGGTTGAGAACACAAAATTAAAGTAAAATAAAACTGAATGAATGTTAAATTAACATGAAGTAAAGATAAAACATGCGCGATTGTTAGTGGAAATAGAGCAATACAGATACTATACTTGTACAGTGGGTTCTGGCTCTTTCAGATCTATTTTTGTTAAAAGTTGGAGTAAATCTCTATCTGAGACTGCCAAAACTGCATTAACAATACACATTTTCTCTGTAGCTGACAAATTAGAAAAAAGGGCACTGGTGCATGAAAGTATTTCGACTCCATGTAGCAGTTGAAATATATTCCTGAAATTCAATTTTTTTTTAACTAGTCAAGCTACAGAAAGTAACAGTTCAAGCTGAATTTTGCACCAAACTTCAACTTTATTATGTATGTTCCAAAATTAGAACTTAGAAAATTTTAAGAACTTTATAGCTATGAAGTATAGAATAAAGATGAGTAATATATATATATATAGTATTTTTATACTACAATACAACATTATTGTATTAGTAGTATATGGGTGAAACATTGGCTATATTTTATTTCGTTCCAAAATGTTTTTTGTTCTTCTTCTCTGACTGCATCATTTTTTCTACCAAGATTTACCTGATACTTTGATAACAGTAGAACAGATGTATGAAATGCATAAATAAGTTTTTACGTGAGTAAACTTTTAAGATTTTTATGTGTGATATTTTTACATTTATATTGAGTAGTGTACCTCATGCTTGTCATACACCTAACCTCTGTATTCCTTTTATGTTTTGTTTGTGAAGAGTTATGTGTAATTATTTAAAAGCCACAAGAAACACTTCTTTGTAGTTTATTATGTGGGCCAAATAAATATGAATTTGTAGTTTCTTTTTGTTATGTAAATAATTCTGTGGTAAATAACTTGTATTTGAGAAAGTAAAATTGTATAATCCATATTGAGAATAACATAACTATAGGCTTATAAAACATTTTAAATTATTTATTATAGCAAATATTATATAAACAGTGTCATATCAAGATTTTAAAAATAGTAGCAATAGTTGTGTTTTTCAATTATTGTTTGATAATTTGTGGATGTACTTTATAGTTATTTTTTATCAATCACTGCTTTCAGTTGTTTTAAGACCCCTAATGATATCTGAATGGTTTTAATAGCATGGACAGAAACAGATGAGTCAGGAGCTGTTCAGCATATTATTCAGAAGGAAAAACAAAGCACTTTCACTGTCAAAGATGGTCAGTCAGAAAGTCATCCAGGAACTGAAGGTGAGCTAAACAATGTTTATAACTTGTAATTTATTTTGTAGTTTTTGTATATATTCTGTTATGGTGTTCTACCTTTACAAAGCACTTTTATTAACATGGTATTCTTTAATTTTGCTAATTTGTTATTTCTGTTTTCTTTAGTCCATGGCTGGTCAGTCGAGACTGAGATGGCATGAATTTGGATAATTTTTAGATTTTTTTTTAAAGAAAAAGTATAGCCTATTGTCATTTTGCAGACAAAGGCAAATGATCAATTGTGTGGTTGATAATGCCTACACAGCATGAGAATCATATGTGGGCTGTACATTTATTCATTTAAGTGTTTAATATGTGATATTTTAGTGATGTATGAACATTGTTAAGTAAGTTATTGGAAGTGAGCATTTAAATTGCTGGGGAAAATGCAAACATTCAAAATCCAGGTTATCATAACAGTAAAAAATACCATCAGTTCAACCATTTGATTTTATGTAGTTCAGTTCTCAATACATTTTATTATTTCCTTTGAAAGACATGCATAGAACTGATTACATTGTTAGAATTATTATATTCTGATTGGACATTGTACTTACAGTTAATAGTTTGTATTAACCCTCTTTACTGAGTTCTTTTTATTAGTTCTAACAATAAAGAAAACAAAATGTATATTGAAGTGCCCAAAAATCTGTCAGGAAAGAAAAGCCACTTTGCATTTTAACAAATATATTTATCATTCCTTACTCACACGTACTTGCTCCAGCTGTATGGCTTTTAATGACATGCTAGTGGTTTTGTTTGTTTTTATTTATTGTTTATTGTAAGAGTTTTCTGTTTATTACCTTATGTAATGTTTTTGTAATTAAACTATGAAATGCTTTTGTTGTCATTATTTTTTAATTTTTCTATAATTCTTAGACGGAAATAAATTTTAGATCTTTGTTTTGTAATTTCTCTTATTTTAGATGTTTTCTTTGTACCTGTGGGTTGTATTGCATGTGAATGCTTTTTTAAGCAAGTTTAATTCAAGCATGAATAGTATTTTTTTAAGCAAGCACAGAAGATTTATGTACAAAAGAAACCAATCCACAGCTGAGATTTGTCACCTTCCCCTCTTGACCTCAGGTGATGACACAACTGTCTCTTCATCAGTAGTTTCCGAGATCAGTCAGGAATTGAAACATGAAGAAAAACGGCTCAGCTTTGCAGAAAAGAGAGATTTTTTTCAAAAATTAAGTGAGACATATGACTCTCCAGCAAAAAAGATAGATCCTTCCCTATATTTCTCATCTCATGATGGTATTGATTCAGATATACAGAAACCTGAAGATTATGATATCCAGAAAATCCAGATGGATATTGAACAGTACCCTCAAAAAAGTGAAATTATTGAAGAGCATAAAAGTTTTCAGGAACGACTACATTTTTTCAAAACAAGCATTGGAGAATCTGAGCAAAGTGGCTTTACAAAAGAAAACATTCCTACTGAAACATCTACAAAAGGAATGCCCGGAGACATTCCTGAGAAAGAAAGAAAGCTTGAAACAGATTTCAGAGAAACTGTCATAAAAGATACAGCAGGCCCTGAATCAGAATTTAGTGAATGTTTTACTGAAGAATATCAAGTTATTAATGACATGGGAAATGAAATGCTTGAGAAAGAAAAGATTATATCTGAATTTGCACCAAAAGAACAAAGAAGGGAAAAGAAGTTACATGAAGTAGAAGAAAACATTCAAGAAGAATTGATTAGAAAACATAATGGTTTTGCATTGGAAATTGACAAAGGTATCTCTGACAAGATATCTCATCTTTCTGAATCTGCCAAACAAGATGTCATTGTAAAAGAAAAATTACAGGAAGAGTTTGAAGAGAAGTCTGTGCAAGAAATTAGCCAAACCAGCCTTGACGAAAATTTTCTAGTGAAACCTAAACAAAGTATTACTGAACAAGAACAACCTTTGATTGACTGGGAGTTGAAAGAATTAGAAATTCAGAAGGATATGACTGACAAAAAGATTCTGTCAGATATCAGCACAGCTATTGCTGAAAATAAGTATCTAATTTCTTCACAGTCTAAGGAAGAACTGAAATTATTGAAAGTTGAAGAATGTAAGCTAAAGTTAGAAGACAGCAAAACTATGAAAGAAGAGAAATCATTAGACATTAGGAAAACTGAACAAACTGTTTTTGAACAAGAATGTTTTCTCAGTGAGTCTAATTTGGAGAATCAAGAAGTACAAAAAGAAGAGGAGATGCAAAATACTGAACCAAAACAAAAATCTGAAGACATTAGTATTGAAAAAGAATTGCCAATTTCAGTTTCAAGTACCACAGAACAGATACAAAAAGATCTTATACATTGTCTGGAAGAACCCAGAAGTATATTAGCTGAGGATCAGTTATCAAAGAAACTAGACACAACAAAACTAGAATATACAAAAGGAGCACCTTCATTGTCTTCAGAAAGCTCCACTGAAAGTTTCATTCAAGGAGAGCAACAATTTAGCACTCAGAAGTACGAGACTATCAATATGAAAAAAGAAATTGAGCAATCTCAAAAAAATGTCTCATTCAGTTCTGAAGAAGAAGAGAGAGAGATGTTGGAGAAAGAGTTAGAACAAACTTCACTGAAAGATGTTGAACAACAGGCTACATCAATGCTCTCCGAAGTCTCTAAGGAGAGTCTAGTTGTTGAAATTGGTACCACTTGTGATTCAGAAAAGACATCTGAAGAAGATGAATTATGGAAAGAGGTTGAAGATAGTAATGAATCAGTAAAAAAAGAAGCTGATTCTTTTGAAACTGACTCCCAAAGCCCCACAGAAAAGGAAAGATTGGATAAACCAATGATATCAGATTTTTCCAAAAAAGATGAATCTTTAATGAAATCAGATACTAGCTTAAATGTTAAAAGTACTGATTTATCAAGGTCACCTGAACAGTTTGTTCAGAAGGATGAAACAGATTCAAAGACATACAGAGAAATTAAAAGAGAACTTGATAAGAAAGAAAGTGTTAGTGAAATAGATGATAAACAAAGTGTTTTTTCTACCCAGGAATCACCATCAATTTCACTAACGTCTCAGGCATTTGGTAAGAAATCATTAATATAAAGGTTTAATTGTAGTTTTCCTATGTGATAGTTTGTTATTATAGAGATATAATTTTTCTCTGAATTAAGTAGTTTACAATTTCATAAGCTAAAGAGGCCAGGGCCAGATTTAGTAATGTTTTGATATAATCTTTATAATTCTGACACAGTACTTTACTTCTGCTCACATACATAGCTATTCTCATTCAATGATTCCCTGTATTTGCCAAATTGTTTTCGAATACCACAAGTCTTTTACTCTTACATATCCCTCTGTTCACATGGTTTAACTGATTCACACATGCAAATCATCATGTGACAAACTTCCACCAACAGATGTGCCCCACACATACATGACTCATGTGACTCCCTCTATGCTATTCTACCTAATTATCACTTCTCTTTTGGCAGTGGATGTTTTATTTAGTGCTTTCTTTGAATTTTCATAGCCTTTATTTCTACTTTTTTTTTTAATAAGCTGATTTAGTTGTGGTATTTCATTTCGACCCAATAGCCTTTATTTCTTCAGTTTTCATTTTTTTTTTTAATTAAGCTGATTTAGTCGTGGTATTATTTCATATCATCCTGGTTATGGAACTTAATAATTTTTCTACGCTTTTCATTCTTTACCATCACAGTTATGTTTGGTTTACGTTTGATTTGTGAATTCTGAAGTACATGTTACCACATCAGAGGTTGTACCTTCCACCAGCACGTTTACTCAGGCTCCTTGTTGGCATGTTTGTAAACTTTGTCTCTTGCTTTACACACATGGTTCCTCTATTGTTGAGAACATTTGGGAGAGGCACGGTTTTGTCCCATGTTCGTTTGCCATTGCCTTATCTTTGGGACTTATGATGCCTCGCCCCTTTTGTCCATCAGTCAGTGTTTGAAGATTTTCCAGCAACTTTGGAATCCCTAATGGAATCTGTGAGATAGCAATCAACTCTTTCTTCATTGGTTGATCATTTGTCTCCCACAGATCCTTGACCATCCTCTGTTTCTGTTTCCAATCTTAATCCTTCCCAACCCTTACCTGTTCCTTCCACATGAGGATCTTCTTCTCATTGTTTTATTTGACACCTAGTGTGATGCTGCCAACAGTATTGGTGACTACCCTGTAAGTTCTAGTCCATTGGGGGCTTGTTTCTTCCACTTTATTCATCTGTGGTGAGATTTTCAGGGATCTATAGATCCTTCAGGTTTTATCCAAGGGACTTGTCATCAATTTCCACTCCCCTCCATTGTCTCTGTTACCCATTTCCTTTCAATTGCTTTGGGATCCTACAACATGTCAGTGTCTGTCTAAATAGACCTCTCTCAGAATTCCATCGAACTTTGTAGTTCATCCTTTCTCAGGGTTTTATTCCAGGTCATTTATCGTCCCCAAGAGACTGGCGATCTGTCACACCCCAATCAGTTCTTGGTGCTACATCATTTTACCATGGAGTCATTTCTCACTTTCCAGTGGGCTTTTTCTCTGGGCTTATGGGTGACCAAGGTTGATGTCTTGAATGCTTATCCATATTCCTATATTGCAGCAGTCAGGATACTACCTTTGGTTTGTTCTTTACAGGATGGTTTATCAATTTGATTCTCTTCCTTTTGGGCTTGCAACTGGAGGTCAAGGCTTTTGTCAGACTTATGCACACTTGATGGTTGCACTTCCACCATCAAATGGACAACTGGCTTCTGCTGACCCATTCCAAACTGGAATCCACCCAACACACTAATCTGCTTCTTTTGGAGGCAGCTCGGGGCAGTTGATTGATCAAGTTGGAGAAATCCTTCCTTGCTCGTACCCAATATCTTATCCATTTGGGTGTCTTGTTCAACACTCATCTCAGTCAGGCCCAACCTTCTCCTCTTTGACTCTGTTTGATGAATGCCCTTACTGCTCCCTTTCTTAATGCTCATCAAGACTTATCTCTTTTGGGAATGTGGCTCTCTGTAGTGGCACTTATCCCCATGAATTGTCCTCATATGAGATCCCTTCAATGGACTTTTCACGATCAATGGAACCTTGCACAGGATCCTTTGAATATTCCTATTACCCTTCCTTCTTCTCTTGTAGATGATCTGCATTGGTGGTTGGACAAGGCTCACACTTCAGCAGGAGTTCTGCTTCCCCCCCTCATCCAGATTTACATATTTTCATAAATGCTTTGCTTTACATCTGGGGGGCATGGGTCAAGTAGTAAGTTGCTTCAGGTAAATGGTCTATGACAAAACGTTCTTACCATATCAATATCCTGGAACTTCTTGCTGTCCTTCGGGCTTTGGGTCATTTTCTTCCTCCTACTCACAATCGTCTGGTCACGATTCATGCCGACAATTCTATAGGAGTGGCATATATCAATCACCAGGGAGGCACTTGCTCTCGTTCCCTTTGTTGTCAAACATTGGAGCTTTTTTTATTGGGCCTGCAGGCACAGTATTCATCTACTTAAGTTTCATGTTCTAGGTGCTTTTCACCTTGTTGCGGATTGTCTATCCCGACCAGACAAAATTTATCCAATGGAGTGGTCTCTAGATCATTTGGTTTTCCAGTGGTTATGTTATGCACTTGGGTGGGTACCCCACACCTCGATGCATTTGCCACTGTCCTCAATACCATTTAACTTAGTTTTGGTCTCCGGTGCCTCATCCACTTGCTCTGGCTGTCAAGTTTTTCAGTCAGGATTGAACAGAAAAATTCCTTTATGTGTATCCTCCTATCTGACTCCTTCCCAGAGTGATTTCTATCATCCACTCCATTTCATGTCAAGTCCTTCTGATTGTCCCCTACTGGCCAGCCTAACCATGATTTCCATGGTAGCTCCAGATCCAATCTGTTCCACTATTGCCTCTTCCCAGCACTCCATTTCTTCTACAGCAGCCTCGATCCCAAGTAGTTCATTCCACCATTCTTACCCTTTGTGTTTATGACTGGTTTTTATCAGGTCCTTGGCAAGAAAATCTGGTGTATCATAGTGTGTAGCTTCATTGTTGGCACATTCAGTTCGACCTTCTTCCATGGAAGTTTATCAGCATAAGTTGAATGATTTCCGCTGTTGGTCGTTGGGTTGTGCATTCTCCCCTGCTCGTCACCACTGTTCCTCTTATTAAGAATTTCCTCACACAATTATTTGATCAAGGATCTTTGGTCTCCTCAATTGCAGGTTATCTGGTGGCTTTATCCTGCAGTTCATTTTTTCCTAGTACGGTAAAATTTTTGCCTCCTATACCTTGTCACTCTTGTTACGTCACTTCTGGATTAATCGCTCTCCACAGCGTGCAACCATTCCATATTGGAATGTCAATGTGATACTTCACTGCCTAACTTTACCTCCATTTGAACCTTTGTCTTCTTGTTTCATATTTCATTTGTCCCTTCAGGCATATTTCCTCATCCTTTTGGTCTGTGGATGTTATCAGTCAGATTTGTTTGCCATCGATGTTTCATGTACACTGTATCATTCCTCTTATTTTCTCTCTTACCTGGATTGATCTTTCCTTCCCAAGACTTCGGTGGTTTGAGAGGGTAATTCCTCCTTCTCGCCGATTTCTCTTCCAGCCATTACCCACCTCTATTCCCAGATCTGATCTAGATAGACTTCTGTGTCCCGTTTGTGCTCTTCATTGTTATATCTCTTTCACAGCTTTCTTCCATCATAACCATTCTTGTCTATTCATCCCTTGGTAACTATTCTTTGTTTGTGATCTCTTTCCTTCCACCCTTACTAGTTGTATTTGGCTTTTAATTTTATTGGCTTATTCTTCCTTTTCTCCGTTTTCCCATAAATTATTCTGTGTGTCTTCCCATCAGATTAGGCACCTTACTTTTTACCTGGCATATCATCTGCATCATCCTTTGGAGGAAGCTCTTCAAAAAAAAGGCATGTGGACCACTCATCATACTTTCATCTCTCACTATCTGCATCATGTTACCATTTATTCCTTGTCAGGCTATCATCTTCAACCTGTTGCCATTCTACAGGCTTCAGTGGGACTATAACTGGGCATGTTTTCTTTTTTTCATTATATATCTTTTTCAGGGGCCTGTCCCATGTTTCAATCTGGATCCTGCTCTGTGGCAAGTTGCACCTGGCCAGGTATACTTAGAGTTCTACTCAAATCTGCACTCTAAGTCCATCTTGATTTTATTTTCATATTTTCCATGGCCACTAAACACACACTGTTCTGTAATATTCCATATACTAGAGATTGAGAGTTCTGCAAAATTGCTCATAGGTCATTCCTCGCAATATATTTGATTCATAAAATGCCTGTCTGAACCATACTGACCCACGGACTTCCTGGGTAAAGCAGAAGGAGATTACTGCCCATCCCTGCTATTCCTTAGATTGAATAAATTGGATTTGGTCTGCTTTTCAATATAGGGTTTTTTGGTCACCCATTGCACTGTCTCCAGTGTGAATGTACCTCCTTAACGCTTTCCAGTTCTAAAGCGGCTGAGGTGAGGGACCATGTAGGTATCCTCCCGAGTGAGAGATATACAATACATACAATAAAGACTTCATTCAGTTGAGAGTAGTGTGGTGGTGTTCTGCTAGTGTAGACAACAAGATGTCCTCTAAATGGATGCTCCATCTCTGCAAGGGTTTGTCCAGGAAGATGTTGCAGCTTTTGAGTGTGCAGTCATAATGATTGGAATCCCTCATTCTACCCTTGCATGGACATTGGTTCCCAGTGGTTGAGTTTTGGATTTAGAACTGAAACAATTAGCATAAGTCCTGACACGAGATGAGGGTGTCCCTGGTCCCTCACTTAATTCATCTCAGGTGCAGTACTCCAGTGTTATGGGTTATGGTGGGTGCACTTGGCAGTTGCTCTACTTCTTCCTTTTGTACTACCCCTCAATACCTTTTTACCAAGGGTGTTACTGCATTTGAGGGGGTTCTGGTCTGTTTAATTTGAGTGGATATCTATGTACTTCCTTCTGCTCACATGTGCCATGTTCACAGATTGGTGGTGGGATTTCTCCCTCCAGTCAAGTAAA